TTTAATTACATCAATATCAGAAATTTTAACTAAAAAAAAAACATTGAAGGGATGAAGGTGTTATTTGGTATAATTTATTATAAATTAAAAATTGATAATTAAAAAGTAAAAATTAAAAGCTCCCTCACCTAACTTTTAAAAATCAATTTTTTTTTTTTAATTTATTAAATTATTTTGCCTAATAAACTTAAGCATAATTACATAAAATACTCTAACACATGCTCTCAGAATAAATATTAAAAAAAAAAATTATAAATAGCTCATTGCGCACTCAATTCAAGTATGAGCTCATTATACATAATTAAATACATCACACATCAATAAATATTTATGGTACAAATGTGAACATTTTTTCTCGATATTCTAAAGTTTTTGATTGATTTATGACGTGTTTTATAATAGCAAGATTAATATATATATATATATATATATATATATATATATATATTAATTTAATTTAAGTAAATTTTTAATATTTTTTTGGGTCTCTACAATTTCTCTATTGATTGAGTCGAGCCAATGAATGAGCTGCCCAATGTTGGGTTTGCCTTTTCCCACCCACCCTTTCTCTTTTACTCTTCCTAATCCCCTTTTCACTTTTCACTTTTCTTTGTCTTCTGGTTTGGCTCCACAAATTACTTCCCTCTTAGCTTTCTCTCCTTTGGTTGATTGAAAGTGAAATGGAATGGGATGGAATGTTATTCTCTGTAGTTTTTTTTATGTAACGATAGTAAATGATAGTTTTATTTATAATGTATTTTTTTAGTGAATTAATAGTAAGAATAAATATTTTAATAAAATGATTATTTTTTTCACTCTAATTTCAATGAATCAAGACATTTTTAATATAAATAACTATTCATTGCATTTTCATTCTAATGAACCAAATAGTATTTTAGTGTTTTCATACATCAATGGCTAGCTTATTGCAGTTTGAAATTCAAAAATACTGTTTATATTTCAGATTGATATGTAAAATCAATCTGATAAATATACGGTAGTTTTTGATTAATTTTCAAATTGCAGTTTGAAATTCAAAACTCTTTCAAAAATTATAACCAAAAAGTTTTGAAAACCTTTTAAAAACTTATCTAAAAAAATTCATAACCAAACAAGTTTCAAAACTCTATTTTAAAAAAAAAAATTCAAAAAAAATATTTTTTTTATTTTGTTCTTTTAAATTATTTTTATTTTTTGAATTTTTAAATTTTTTTATTTTTGAAAAAAATATTTCTTATTTTTTTGAAAAGAATATTTTGTTATTTTTGTAAGTTTTGGCTAAAAATTTGTTATGATTTAGATATATATGGGTGATTCAAAAATTTTTAAAATTAAAAAAATAAATATTTGAAAAAAATATAAATATATATTTTAAATAAAATTTTTAATTTTTTAAATATTTTAAAAAATAAAAAAATTAAATAATTTTTTCAAAAAATATATTTAAAATTTTAAAACAATTTTTAAAAAATAAATAATTATTTGTTCTAAAAAAATTCAAAAAAAAAAATAATAAAAAATTTAGTTTCAAAATTGGTAACCAAACAAGTTTTCAAAATATACAATCAAAAATTAGTTTCAAAATCTTTTCGAAATTTATAACCAAATAATTTTTTTTAAATTTATATTTCAAAATACAATTTAAAACTCTTTGTTGATATATTTATGTAAATGAGTTTCGTATATCTATCATCATTATCATTAAACAAATTATAAAGGTTAATTAGTTGAGTTTTTAATTAATAAGTCGACCGACCACTTAGCTTTGAAGGCAATAGAATCTTGTCAAATCACAAACAATCAATGGGAACCCAAAAGAGATCTCCTCTTGCATCTCAGATCAGAAGCTGCATGAGCCTGATATTAAATAACAATATTGTGCTAAAAATTGTCTAAGCTAATTCAATGGAAACTGTTTTTTTTTTTCTCTCCTTTTTTTTTACCTTAAAGGAATTTCGGGCATTCGAGCCCGAAACTCGGGCCCTCAATCACTGGCATAAAATAAAGCTTAGATTCCAATTTTGTATATAAAATAGTATAAATAACAATTATAAGAACAAAAAAAAAGTTACATAAGGTTCCTGGCGGGGGATAGTAGCATATTTATCTTTAATTTGTGTGGCTACTCTCATGGTGTTGAAACCCTTTTAACTTAAATTTATAGTTGGTGCAATTAATGGAAAATAATAATGCTATATAATGATTAAATTCTTATGAAAAATGTTATACGTTTTAAATTTTTTATAAACAAATGACTAGATGTCTCAGATTGTAGGTTTCATAAAATTACAAACCTCATACTCATTTGAGACATTTAATCATTTATTTGATAAAAAATTTAATATCTCTAATATTATTTAAAATTTATATCATTATAATCTCAGTGATAAGATCTATTACACCAAGTCTAGTTAGTAGTGAGAATTCCAACGAAATATCAAATGTTACCATTATTAATGAAAAAAAAGAGAGAAGGTAATCCTATGCCTAGGTGATTTAACCATTAAATTATTTAACCAGCTATCTAAAGTCCACCTAAAAAAGCTCAAAAAATTCTTATTGTCGGCTCTAGTTTTTAAAGCACAATGAGGTAAGTCTTATTTTAAACCGCAGTGATTCAATATTTTAAATTTGTATTATTAATGTCAGCTTCAATAAGTTGACAGTACGAAAAAAAGAAAAAAAAGACCAAACTATGACATCAAATAGTAGGTCCACATCAGCACCATATCATTAGTGGTTTATTATTGGTTTCAAGTAGTGGTTGAAGCATTTTTATATTTTAAAATGATTTTACATTTTTTTAAGATAAAATATAGAAGACTTACATGTAAATCCTAATAAGAAACTTATTGTCCAATAAATTCTATGATAATTAATGGTATTTTTCATTAAATACGATTAAAAAAAGTCACTAATGGTTAATTTTCAACAACAAATTAAAAATTATCATAAAAAATGTCACTAATATGAATTTTAACGATAATTTAAAAAAAAATCACAAAAAACGCACTAATTTTCAACTTTCAGTTACAGTTTAAAATTGTCACAGAAAAACATTACTAATTGTAAATTTTAACAACAATTTATAAAAATCGTAACAAAAAAAGTTACTAATTTTCAATTTTTCACAACATATACAAAAAATCGTCACAAAATTATTTTTAACAATGAAAACTTATTTTCTATAAATTTAATGAGAATTAAGTCTAACTATTAAAACCTATTAATAGGCGTTGTTTGGGAAGTGGCAAATGAGGCTATTATAGCCTCAAATGAGATATAAGCCAAAAAGCTCACTTTCATACTTTTTTATTAAAAAAAAAAAAAAAATAGGTTCACTGCCGTTTGTCAAAGTGGCAATTGTTACATCACGTGAAAAATTACGGCTTTGCCCCTTCTCACCAATTTAAAAAAATATAATTTTAAAACAAATTTGTCATTTTAAATTCAAACATCATTTCAACACACTTTTCAATACAACAACTCAATTAAAAATCTATCTCATCTTCTCAAACATAAAAAATTAAATAACCTACTAAATAATTAAAAAATCAAAAAATTTCTAAAATAACCACTCCAAACAAGCCTATAGTTTAACATAAAATATATATCCCAAATTTATGAAGAATGATGCAAAACATACACGGGTGATTTTGTTTTTTTTTTTTAAGCTTTAAAAGAAGGCTTTGGGATGGCCTAGACATCCATGTAGGACGTCAATGTCCATAACAACAGACATCAAAGGCATCCGTACATTTGGAGATATGTTATGAACCCACGTGTCGCTTCAGGAGGCAGACAAGTGGTTGCCATAGCACTAGCAGATTCTACGTAAAGACTAGGGGCGTGTATAATTCCGCTGAAACTGTCAAAACTGTCAAATCGCACTGTCAAGGCAAATTCGTTATTATTGTCAATCGAACCGCGATTTTTGTAAGAAAAATGAAAATTCTAATAACACTTTTAACAATCGTCGATTTCTATTTTTCTTCCAAACCACACCGACCCGCACCGCTATTAAATCATGTTTTATAAGGTTTAAAAATTCTTTTTTACTTAAGTTTGCTTGTTGTTCTATACTTTAAAATATAATATTACATTATTGCTCGAGGGAAATTCAAGATGTCAGTAATTCAAAATAAAGTTGAATTTCAATTCACTTTTCAATCTTTTTTTTTTTTTTTCTGCCATGTTACAAACTTGCATCAGCTCACTTTTCAATCTAAACACTTTTCAACCGTAAACATTTTTAATATATTGTAAATCCTGAATGATATTAATTTTATGTATTGTATTTGATCATTGTAGCTTCCACAGATGCTTATAATGAACTGATGGCATAGTCGATATTATCATGTTGTTGCTACACTTGCTGCATCAGAAGAAAGCTTCACAAGATGCTTAACAATCATGGTATCTCTTCTTTTTTTACTCTTTGATTTAAGTTTTGTAATTTAAATTATATTTTTTATAAACCGCCAATCCGCCCGAACCGCCAAGGCAAATATGCCATTATTTGCCAACCGAATTGCCGATTTTTTATAAAAAAAATGACAATTCTAGTAACATTTTATCAATCCGCTACCCGTATACGGTTTCTATTTTTTTCTCAAACCGCCACGCGTACACCCTATAGAGACACAGGACGATGAAATGGGCTCAATACATTTAAGACTCCCATATCAAACCCAAACCTATCAATAACCAGGAAGCACAGCTATGTTGATTCCACTTGTGTCATCAGAAAATTCAATTCCCCCACATTAAAATTCAAACAAAAAGATAAAATCCAATATACATCTATATATTACATAAAAACAGTTGAATAAATTCCAAACCACCATAGTAAACAATTTACAAGGGAAATGAAATCACAAGCATACTAGATAAAGTTGCAATTATGTTATGCCTCATAAATAAACTTTAAAACAATGTGTCGTGCTCCAGAAAATGCATTGCTTGCGTCTACATATCATCATCATAAAATAGCACACCTACCACTTTCAGCTTGCTTGCGAAGCTCATCGGTCTCCCTCTGGGCTCTCTCCAAATGTTCTCTCAGCTTACGGATTTCATCATTTGATCTCATTTGAGCTGCCTGAGCAATCTCTTCTGCCTTCAATCGTGCCGCTTGCTCTTCTGCCAATTGCAGTTCAAGCCTGTGAGTAGTCTCCTCAGCTTCGATTCAACCTGTGGAACAAAACAAATAATAATAATAATAATAATAATCTATTCAAGATGTGAAAAAACAAAAAGAACCATAAACTGAAAATTTTCCAAATGGTAGCTCTGATTCACTGTTTTCATATCAGGATGAAGGCTTAGTTAGTTCATATCTATCATTTTCCAGTCATTATTTTCCATGCCAAAAACTGTAGGCATGACAATATCACAAATGCAATCTATATTCATTTTTAAACTGATTAGTCAATCATAAAGACAATTCTAAACACCAATAACCATGAGACAATTAAGAATATACAACAGTAAGGCTTCAGTTATAGGGCTCATTTAAATTGGTTTATGTGGTCAAGCTTGCAGAACTTATGAGGAGTTTAGGGTTTAAACATGGCAGCAAAGTGGTAAAGCTTGTGAATTAACAGAATAGGGCTGTTTCAAAAGGCTGTGAGGAGTACCAGAGAATAGTAACTACTCTCTTTAGGTCAAGTTATAGGGTTGGCCATGTGACAAAAAGATATTGATGTTTAGCCCACAAGAAAATAGTATTTGCCCATGTGAGTGTTCCCAAAACTCAATCATATGTGGAATTAGATGTACCTGGAGAGTAAATGAGTGAGCTTAAATTTAACATGTTTTTTTGAAACCCTCAGAACATGCTTCAAGCTTTTGTTTCCATTTGCAAGCTAGTCACAAAATTTATTGCAATCGATAGTATTCTCGTCTTGTAGGTGAAAGTTTGCTAATTTTTGTGGCTAGAAAACAAATAGCTATTCTATGAGAGTACAACTGGGAAGTGCTTCATAAAACCCTGATTCAGATTTTGTTATCCAAATTATTTAATTGTCACAAAAATATATAGCATAATTAAGGATAACAATCACAAAAATAGTACCCACTCAATTTCACAAGAAGTTCCCATTGGGGTACTCCACGACATGGCCATTAGACATTTTCAAAACATTAGTGTTAATGGTTTCTATAAAAACTGCCCATATAAACTATAGCCATCATATTCTAGGCTAAGCCAATAACTTGTGTCACAAGATAAAAATGCCCCTAATTATTCTATTATTTGTGTCACATGGTGCACAATCAAATCTAAATCATCCAGTCCAAGCCTGAGGACCCTGTACATTTTTATGTTTCACAAGTAATGCTTCCAAAAACAAAACATCCACCCAAAAAGGCAGGACACCCTTAAAGGAGTAAAAATGAAATTGCCAATCACGGCTCTCTTTACCATCAATCATGGGGCAACCAAGGATTCAAGGACACTTTCTAAACCACGATTTAAACCACACTGAATGAAGATCTATGGTGCATAAAATGAAAAGGAAAGATAAGCAGGCAACAACTAAATATCAAATAGGTATATATCTTAATCATACCATATCAGTTATTCGCTTGAGCTTGTCTTCATATGATCTATGCATCTGCTCCTTCAACTCAGAAATCTCACGTTTCGAGTACCCCTCCAAGGAATTAACTTCTTCTGTCTGATCACGAAGTTTCATAGCCCCCTTCTGTTAAACAAAACATAGAGATTGTTATAATTTTGCTTTTAACATGATATTAATTTTAGAGTTCTGCCACACACCAAAAAAACACAAAAAAACAAACAAAACAAACAACAACCACCACCAGCAGCAGCAGCAGTAGGACTCTCACCTTCAATTCAATGAATATTTCATCCGTATATGGTTGACCACCAGTCTGCTCAGTGACCATGTTTACGAGAGAGAAAAGTTGCTGAAGTTGTTCAGCTTTCTTTGCCTCATCTTTGGTCTTATTGTCAAACAGAACTCTTCGGTTTCCACAAGAAAGAAGAATTTCCTACACCAATGTAAAATAATTAGTCTATTTGTATATTGTTAGCTAATTCATTCAGAATATAAACAATTAAACAACCACTTGATCTGCATCAATACTGTCGAAACGGCAATAGTTTGGCTAACTAAGAAAAAAAAAAAAATCAGAAATTCTATGCACTTCCAAACAGCATTAAGGGTTCGCAACTATCACAATCAAGACTACAGAACAGAACCACCAACAAGTAACTTTAATGAGCTATCAAATTAACCAATGAGAATAAAAAATTTATAGAAGCAGAAAGGTGCAAGACACAGGAGATACTCTACCTTTAAAGGCTCAGGGCACTCGGAACCCAGTAATCTTCCAATGTTTCATCATTTTTCGAGTTCATCGCCACCAGTAAAGACTACAATCATGTAGTCATAAATTTTTTCCAAACCAAGTCTGCAAGCTATGAAGGGCAGCTTCTTCTTCTTTCGAAAAAGCGGGACCTGACTGAGAAAACTACAAGAACTGCATGGATGCCATCCTTGGCCATATTGATGCATTTGACAATTTCTTTTCCAAATAAATTCAGACTCAGCAGAAAAATCAAATAATCCTGCCATTTTTTGTTTAGGTTAGCAGTTCGAACCAAAAACATATTAACAAAAGAAAAAATGCTTATATTGTTAATTGATATAGATTTACCGGGAGTGGTCAATAACATTAAGAATCTGGCCATCTGTCAATACAGTTCTGTTCAGCTCACAAGTACTGGTAACACCAGCTGAGCTAGCCCTTGACTTAAATGCCTTTCTTCCAAGAATGCTATTGCCTGTTGAACTTTTTCCATTTCCTGTACGTCCAACCAAAACCACAGTTTGAACCCCATTTGAAGGGGAAGTGAATTCCAATCATCATCGTTTGAACTTCCACCCATTCTATAAAATCAAATTATCAGAAGAATATGTCAATACAAGTTTGAGGCCTTAACTAGTAAATCACAATTTAAGATGACACACATGAACAAATGGAGCAACTATTATCATTTACCTACTTACCAGTTACCATCAACATGATAAAAGATAAAACTATATATTTCTATCTTCCACTTTTAAGCAATCAACATTTTAAAGGACAAAACGCCAGTTATAACTCTTTTGGCCACTCACATCTAGTTAATTGCAAATCCATTGGCCTAATCTCTAATGTGGTTACAAACTACACATAAATGTTTAATTTTCCTATTGTTGATAAGTTTATAAAAAATGCAAAGAAACACAGTGCGAGGAGGCATGACTCATGAAGGAAAAATATAAGAAAAAAAAAAAAAAAAAACTTTATCGTTATCCACAAATTATAGAAAAAAATACAAAAGAGATTGTTTTACGCATTATGGTTTTTTTCTTTTTGGGTAATTTCACATACGTTAAATTGGGCTTATATATTAATTTTTTTTTATAATATAAGATATCAAAATTAAAGGAAGAATATTCATATCAGTATGCAGATTTAAAAGAACAAATACAGACAATCATGCTATGTTTGAATTAATGGATTTGATATGAAAATAATTTAATACTATTCATTCAAAGAGAATAGCCCAAATTTAGGTTTAATAGTTTGGATATAAATTTCAATGTTGAATTTGAAGATTTGTCATGATGGATATAAAATAATAATGTAAAAATAGTGATTCAAAATCCTTCATGCTAACGGTTCTAGTTCTAAAAAGTCATAATAAAATATTTTTAATCTCTAATTTATTTTCCCCTTTTTCAATTTCTCATTCCACCTACAACATCTTAATCTCTTATATTACATAAAATTCAACCCTAAATCCCAACTGTAATACTTGAGGATAAGATCTACGGTCTCGTCCGAGTCAACCAAGGGGCAAGTGGAGTTTGGCCGGTCGTTAATTTCAGGCCTGATATTCGTCGAGATCCAGGCAAGCTGGCAAAGGCACTCAGTTATTAAATAAAAATAAAGGGAAAAAATTCAACCTAAATCCCTTTATTTGGAATCCAACCAACCAAACAGAGCCCCATAACTTGCAAACAATCACAAAATTTAGAAAAAAACGGTCAGATAATAAATTCCTATGATATAAAAAAATAATAAAAAAAAAAAGAAAAGAAAATTAAATAAAATTAGAAATTAAAAAAAAAAAAAGGAAAATAACCAAAAACAACAAAGGATAAAGGAAATTGGAAAGGTTGAGATTCCAAACAAGGCTAAGAGAGTAAACAGATCATGGATTATCTTAAATATAAATAAAAAAAACAGATTCAGTACCACAAATCAAAATTCTCAACAACAATAATATTATCTCCTCACCACCACCCACAAAGCAAAACCACCAACAAATTATGGTTCCTAATTTTACTTTTTTAATCTCTATTATTTTTTCCTTTATTTTGATATTCTCTATGATGATCAAGGAACGAACCAAATAACCCAAAAAATTTAAAGAAACTCGAAATTGACTTACTTTGAGATTGTTATCGTCCGAAGAAAGAGATCGAGAGAGTCCGAAAGAAGAGAGAGAGAGAGAAGGGTACAGAGACTAGAGAGTGGCTGGTGAGGAAAGGAATAGATAGAGCGTAAAGAGGTGAGATATAGTCAAAAGAGGTATTTATTTATTTATTTTATTTTGTTTTCATTTTGATAATAAAATAATAGTAAGTATTAATGTATATACTTTTTGAATACAATTTTTTTTTTGTATTAGTCAAAACAACTTAAATAAAGTACGGTTACAAATCATGCCAAATTATTCCAATACTAAAGTCATTAAAAGAAAATAATAAATACATAAATTAGTATCAACACTAAGCTCAAGAAAAATAAAAGAACTCCAAACGACATGTCCTACGATCACAGTTATTTCTTTTAGATATGCATTAACTAATTAAAATTATACTTGACTAGTACAAAAATTGTGAGGAAATGAAAAACAAATGTAGTAAATACAACATATATTAAAAAAACAAATAATATTTACAATAAAAAATATTTACCTTAAAAAAATAAAATTAAGAAATTTTTTAAATATTTAAGAAAAAATAAATCCAAAATAATTTCAAAATACTCAAAACTTTTTTCAAAACTCACAATCAAATAATTTTTCTCTTTTCAAAACTTATTTCAAAAATTTATATTTCAAAATACAATTTAAAACTCGTTTGTTGATATATTTATGTAAATGAGTTTCGTATATCTATCATCATTATCATTAAACAAATTATAAAAGGTTAATTAGTGTGAGTTTTTAATTAATAAGTCGACCGACCACTTAGCTTTGAAGGCAATAGAATCTTGTCAAATCACAAACAATCAATGGGAAACCCTAAAAGAGATCTCCTCTTGTCATCTCAAGATCAGAAGCTGCATGGAGAGCCCTGATATATAAAATAAAGCTTAGATTCCAATTTTGTATATAAAATAGTATAATAACAATTATAAGAACAAAAAAAAAGTTACATAAGGTTCCTGGCGGGGGATAGTAGCATATTTATCTTTAATTTGTGTGGCTACTCTCATGGTGTTGAAACCCTTTTAACTTAAATTTATAGTTGGTGCAATTAATGGGAAAATAATAATGCTATATAATGATTAAATTCTTATGAAAAATGTTATACGTTTTAAATTTTTTATCAAACAAATGACTAGATGTCTCAGATTGTAGGTTTCATAAAATTACAAACCTCATACTCATTTGAGACATTTAATCATTTATTTGATAAAAAATTTAATATCTCTAATATTATTTAAAATTTATATCATTATAATCTCAGTGATAAGATCTATTACACCAAGTCTAGCTTAGTAGTGAGAATTCCAACGAAATATCAAATGTTACCATTATTAATGAAAAAAAAGAGAGAAGGTAATCCTATGCCTAGGTGATTTAACCATTAAATTATTTAACCAGCTATCTAAAGTCCACCTAAAAAAGCTCAAAAAATTCTTATTGTCGGCTCTAGTTTTTTAAGGCACAATGAGGTAAGGTCTTATTTTAAACCGCAGTGATTCAATATTTTAAATTTGTATTATTAATGTCAGCTTCAATAAGTTGACAGTACGAAAAAAAGAAAAAAAAAGACCAAACTATGACATCAAATAGTAGGTCCACATCAGCACCATATCATTAGTGGTTTATTATTGGTTTTCAAGTAGTGGTCTGAAGCATTTTTATATTTTAAAATGATTTTACATTTTTTTAAGATAAAATATAGGAAGACTTACATGTAAATCCTAATAAGAAAACTTATTGTCCAATAAATTCTATGATAATTAATGGTATTTTTCATTAAATACGATTAAAAAAAGTCACTAATGGTTAATTTTCAACAACAATTTAAAAATTATCATAAAAAATGTCACTAATTATGAATTTTAACGATAATTTAAAAAAAAATCACAAAAAACGCCACTAATTTTCAACTTTCAGTTACAGTTTAAAAATTGTCACAGAAAAACATTACTAATTGTAAATTTTAACAACAATTTATAAAAATCGTAACAAAAAAAGTTACTAATTTTCAATTTTTCACAACATATACAAAAAATCGTCACAAAATTATTTTTAACAATGAAAACTTATTTTCTATAAGATTTAATGAGAATTAAGTCTAACTATTAAAACCTATTAATAGGCGTTGTTTGGGAAGTGGCAAATGAGGCTATTATAGCCTCAAATGAGATATAAGCCAAAAAGCTCACTTTTCATACTTTTTTATTAAAAAAAAAAAAAAAATAGGTTCACTGCCGTTTGTCAAAGTGGCAAGTTGTTACATCACGTGAAAAATTACGGCTTTGCCCCTTCTCACCAATTTAAAAAAATATAATTTTAAGAACAAATTTGTCATTTTAAATTCAAACATCATTTCAACACACTTTTCAATACAACAACTCAATTAAAAATCTATCTCATCTTCTCAAACATAAAAATTAAAATAACCTACTAAAGTAATTAAAAAATCAAAAAATTTCTAAAATAACCACTTCCCAAACAACGCCTATAGTTTAACATAAAATATATATCCCAAATTTATGAAGAATGATGCAAAACATACACGGGTGATTTTTGTTTTTTTTTTTTAAGCTTTAAAAGAAGGTTTTGGGATGGCCTAGACATCCATGTAGGACGTCAATGTCCATAACAACAGACATCAAAGGCATCCGTACATTTGGAGATATGTTATGAACCCACGTGTCGCTTCAGGAGGCAGACAAGTGGTTGCCATAGCACTAGCAGATTCTATGTAAAGACTAGGGGCGTGTATAATTCCGCTGAAACTGTCAAAAACTGTCAAAATCGCACTGTCAAGGCAAATTCGTTATTATTTGTCAATCGAACCGTCGATTTTTGATAAGAAAAATGACAAATTCTAATAACACTTTTAACAATCGGTCGATTTCTATTTTTCTTCCAAACCACACCGACCCGCACCGCTATTAAATCATGTTTTATAAGATTCTAAAAATTCTTTTTTACTTAAGTTTGCTTGTTGTTCTATACTTTAAAATATAATATTACATTATTGCTCGAGGGAAATTCAAGATGTCAGTAATTCAAAATAAAGTTGAATTTCAATTCACTTTTCAATCTTTTTTTTTTTTTTCTGACCATGTTACAAACTTGCATCAGCTCACTTTTCAATCTAAACACTTTTCAACCGTAAACATTTTTAATATATTGTAAATCCTGAATGATATTAATTTTATGTATTGTATTTGATCATTGTAGCTTCCACAGATGCTTATAATGAACTGATGGCATAGTCGATATTATCATGTTGTTGCTACACTTGCTGCATCAGAAGAAAGCTTCACAAGATGCTTAACATCATGGTATCTCTCGTCTTTTTTTTACTCTTTGATTTAAGTTTTGTAATTTAAATTATATTTTTTATAAACCGCCAATCCGCCCGAACCGCCAAGGCAAATATGCCATTATTTGCCAACCGAATTGCCGATTTTTTATAAGAAAAATGACAAATTCTAGTAACATTTTTATCAATCCGCTACCCGCTATACGGTTTCTATTTTTTTCTCAAACCGCACCGCGTACAACCCTAGTAGAGACACAGGACGATGAAATGGGCTCAATACATTTAGAGACTCCCATATCAAACCCAAACCTATCAATAACCAGGAAGCACAGCTATGTTGATTCCACTTGTGTCATCAGAAAATTCAATTCCCCCACATTAAAATTCAAAACAAAAAGATAAAATCCAATATACATCTATATATTACATAAAAACAGTTGAATAAATTCCAAACCACCATAGTAAACAATTTACAAGGGAAATGAAATCACAAGCATACTAGATAAAGTTGCAATTATGTTTATGCCTCATAAATAAACTTTAAAACAATGTGTCGTGCTCCAGAAAATGCATTGCTTGCGTCTACATATCATCATCATAAAATAGCACACCTACCACTTTCAGCTTGCTTGCGAAGCTCATCGGTCTCCCTCTGGGCTCTCTCCAAATGTTCTCTCAGCTTACGGATTTCATCATTTGATCTCATTTGAGCTGCCTGAGCAATCTCTTCTGCCTTCAATCGTGCCGCTTGCTCTTCTGCCAATTGCAGTTCAAGCCTGTGAGTAGTCTCCCTCAGCTTCGATTCAACCTGTGGAACAAAACAAATAATAATAATAATAATCTATTCAAGATGTGAAAAAACAAAAAGAACCATAAACTGAAAATTTTCCAAATGGTAGCTCTGATTCACTGTTTTTCATATCAGGATGAAGGCTTAGTTAGTTCATATCTATCATTTTCCAGTCATTATTTTCCATGCCAAAAACTGTAGGCATGACAATATCACAAATGCAATCTATATTCATTTTTAAACTGATTAGTCAATCATAAAGACAATTCTAAACACCAATAACCATGAGACAATTAAGAATATACAACAGCTAAGGCTTCAGTTATAGGGCTCATTTAAATTGGTTTATGTGGTCAAGCTTGCAGAACTTATGGAGGAGTTTAGGGTTTAAACATGGCAGCAAAGTGGTAAAGCTTTGTGAATTAACAGAATAGGGCTGTTCCAAAAGGCTGTGAGGAGTACCAGAGAATAGTAACTACTCTCTTTAGGTCAAGTTATAGGGTTTGGCCATGTGACAAAAAGATATTGATGTTTAGCCCACAAGAAAATAGTATTTGCCCATGTGAGTGTTCCCAAAACTCAATCATATGGTGGAATTAGATGTACCTGGAGAGTAAATGAGTGAGCTTAAATTTAACATGTTTTTTGAAACCCCTCAGAACATGCTTCAAGCTTTTGTTTCCATTTGCAAGCTAGTCACAAAATTTATTGCAATCGAATAGTATTCTCGTCTATTGTAGGTGAAAGTTTGCTAATTTTTGTGGCTAGAAAAACAAATAGCTATTCTATGAAAGTACAACTGGGAAGTGCTTCATAAAACCCTGATTCAGATTTTGTATCCAAAATTATTTAATTGTCACAAAAATATATAGCATAATTACGGATAACAATCACAAAAAATAGTACCCACTCAATTTCACAAGAAGTTCCCATTGGGGTACTCCACGACATGGCCATTAGACATTTTCAAAACATTAGTGTTAATGGTTTCTATAAAAACTGCCCATATAAACTATAGCCATCATATTCTAGGCTAAGCCAATAACTTGTGTCACAAGATAAAAATGCCCCTAATTATTCTATTATTTGTGTCACATGGTGCACAATCAAATCTAAATCATCCAGTCCAAGCCTGAGGGCCCTGTACATTTTTATGTTTCACAAGTAATGCATCCCAAAAACAAAACATCCACCCAAAAAGGCAGGACACGCTTAAAGGAGTAAAAATGAAATTGCCAATCACGGCTCTCTTTACCATCAATCATGGGGCAACCAAGGATTCAAGGACACTGTTTCTAACCACGATTTAAACACACTGAATGAAGATCTATTGTGCATAAAATGAAAAGGAAAGATAAGCAGGCGACAACTAAAATATCAAATAGGTATATATCTTAATCATACCATATCAGTTATTCGCTTGAGCTGGTCTTCATATGATCTATGCATCTGCTCCTTCAACTCAGAAATCTCACGTTTCGAGTACCCCTCCAAGGAATTAACTTCTTCTGTCTGATCACGAAGTTTCATAGCCCCCTTCTGTTAAACAAAACATAGAGATTGTTATAATTTTGCTTTTAACATGATATTAATTTTAGAGTTCTGCCACACACCAAAAAACACAAAAAAACAAACAAACAAACAACAACCACCAGCAGCAGCAGCAGCAGCAGTAGGACTCTCACCTTCAATTCAATGAATATTTCATCCGTATATGGTTGACCACCAGTCTGCTCAGTGACCATGTTTACGAGAGAGAAAAGTTGCTGAAGTTGTTCAGCTTTCTTTGCCTCATCTTTGGTCTTATTGTCAAACAGAACTCTTCGGTTTCCACACAGAAGAAGAATTTCCTACACCAATGTTAAAAATAATTAGTCTATTTGTATATTGTTAGCTAATTCATTCAGAATATAAACAATTAAACAACCACTTGATCTGCATCAATACTGTCGAAACGGCAATAGTTGGCTAACTAGAAAAAAAAAAAAATCAGAAATTCTATGCACATTCCAAACAGCATTAAGGGTTCGCAACTATCACAATCAAAGACTACAGAACAGAACCACCAACAAGTAACTTTAATGAGCTATCAAATTATAACCAATGATGAATAAAAAATTTATAGAAGCAGAAAGGTGCAAGACACAGGAGATACTCTACCTTTAAAGGCTCAGGGCACTCGGAACCCAAGTAATCTTCCAATGTTTCATCATTTTCTTCGAGTTCATCGCCACCAGTAAAGACTACAATCATGTAGTCATAAATTTTTTTCCCAAACAAAGTCTGCAAGCTATGAAGGGCAGCTTCTTCTTCTTTCGAAAAGCGGGACCTGACTGAGAAAACTACAAGAACTGCATGGATGCCATCCTTGGCCATATTGATGCATTTGACAATTTCTTTTCCAATAAATTCAGACTCAGCAGAAAAATCAAATAATCCTGCCATTTTTTGTTAGGTTAGCAGTTCGAACCAAAAAACATATTAACAAAAGAAAAAATGCTTATATTGTTAATTGATATAGATTTACCGGGAGTGTCAATAACATTAAGAATCTGGCCATCTGTCAATACAGTTCTGTTCAGCTCACAAGTACTGGTAACACCAGCTGAGCTAGCCCTTGACTTAAATGCCTTTCTTCCAAGAATGCTATTGCCTGTTGAACTTTTTCCATTTCCTGTACGTCCAACCAAAACCACAGTTTGAACCCCATTTGAAGGGGAAGTGAATTCCCAATCATCATCGTTTGAACTTCCACCCATTCTATAAAATCAAATTATCCAGAAGAATATGTCAATACAAGTTTGAGGCCTTAACTAGTAAATCACAATTTAAGATGACACACATGAACAAATGGGAAGCAACTATTATCATTTACCTACTTACCAGTTACCATCAACATGATAAAAGATAAAACTATATATTTCTATCTTCCACTTTTAAGTCAATCAACATTTTAAAGGACAAAACGCCAGTTATAACTCTTTTGGCCACTCACATCTAGTTAATTGCAAATCCATTGGCCTAATCTCTAATGTGGTTTACAAACTACACATAAATGTTTAATTTTCCTATTGTTGATAAGTTTATAAAAAATGCAAAGAAAACCAGTGCGAGGAGGCATGACTCATGAAGGAAAAATATAAGAAAAAAAAAAAAAAAAAAAACTTTATCGTTATCCACAAATTATAGAAAAAAATACAAAAGAGATTGTTTTACGCATTATGGTTTTTTTCTTTTTGGGTAATTTCACATTACGTTAAATTGGGCTTATATATTAATTTTTTTTTATAATATAAGATATCAAAAATTAAGAGGAAGAATATTCATATCAGTATGCAGATTTAAAAGAACAAATACAGACAATCATGCTATGTTTGAATTAATGGATTTGATATGAAATAATTTAATACTATTCATTCAAAGAGAATAGCCCAAATTTAGGTTTAATAGTTTGGATATAAATTTCAATGTTGAATTTGAAGATTTGTCATGATGGATATAAAATAATAATGTAAAAATAGTGATTCAAAATCCTTCATGCTAACGGTTCTAGTTCTAAAAGAGTCATAATAAAATATTTTTAATCTCTAATTTATTTTCCCCTTTTTCAATTTCTCATTCCACCTACAACATCTTAATCTCTTATATTTACATAAAATTCAACCCTAAATCCCAACTGTAAATACTTGAGGATAAGATCTACGGTCTCGTCCGAGTCAACCCAAGGGGCAAGTGGAGGTTTGGCCGGTCGTTAATTTCAGGCCCTGATATTCGTCGAGATCCAGGCAAGCTGGCAAAGGCACTCAGTTATTAAATAAAAATAAAGGGAAAAAAATCAACCCTAAATCCCTTTATTTGGAATCCAACCAACCAAACAGAGCCCCATACTTGCAAACAATCACAAAATTTAGAAAGAAAACGGTCAGATAATAAATTCCTATGATATAAAAAAATAATAATAAAAAAAAAGAAAAGAAAATTAAATAAAATTAGAAAATTAAAAGAAAATTTTAAAAAAAAAAAGGAAAATAACAAAAACAACAAAGGATAAAGGAAATTGAAAGGGTTGAGATTCCAAACAAGGCCTAAGAGAGTAACAGATCATGGATTATCTTAAATATAAATAAAAAAAACAGATTCAGTACCACAAATCACAAATTCTCAACAACAATAATAATTATCTCCTCCACCACCACCCACAAAGCAAAACCACCAACAAATTATGATTCCTAATTTTTACTTTTTTAATCTCTACTATTTTTTCCTTTATTTTGATATTCTCTATGATGATCAAGGACCGAACCAAATAACCCAAAAAATTTAAAGAAACTCGAAATTGACTTACTTTGAGATTGTATCGTCGGAAGAAAGAGATCGGAGAGAGTCGAAAGAGAGAGAGAGAGAGAGAGAGAGAATGGTATAGAGACTAGAGAGTGGCTGGTGAGGAAAGGAATAGATAGAGCATAAAGAGGTGGAGATACAGTCAAAAGAGGTATTTATTTATTTTATTTTATTTTGTTTCATTTTGATAATAAAATAATAGTAGTATTAATGTATTATACTTTGAATACAATTTTTTTTTTGTATTTATTTTATTTTATTTTATTTTGTTTCATTTTGATAATAAAATTAGAGTAGTAGTAATGCATTATACTTTGAATACAAAATTTTTTGGACTTTGGGATATTTGAGACAACCAGACGGTCGTAATTATTAGTAGTAGTAATGTATTATACTTGTATTATACTTTGAATACAATTTTTTTTTTGTATTTATTTTATTTTATTTTGTTTCATTTTGATAATAAAATAAGAGTAGTAGTAATGTATTATACTTTGAATACAATTTTTTTTTGTATTTATTTTATTTTATTTTGTTTCATTTTGATAATAAAATTAGAGTAGTAGTAATGCATTATACTTTGAATACAAAATTTTTTGGACTTTGGGATATTTGAGACAACCAGACGGTCTCTTGGGAAAATGGATGCCGTGCTGGCTAAGAAAATTATCGTTTATTAGTCTAAGGGTTGGTTTGGTATGTTTTAAAAAAATGTATTTTTTGACTTATTAATTTATATGGATTGGATTTGGATTGGGTTTGATGTGATGTGTTAGTGAGGTGATGTGATTTAAATAAGATGATGTCACTTAAATAGGATAGTGACTTTTTGACTTTTTGTATTATTTAGGACATGCCAAACCAAGCCTAAGTTTTAAGATTTTTTTTTTAAATCACATTTTAAAAATATAATTTTAAATTAAAATTATAATTTCAACATACAATTTCACTTTGAAATCGCATGTTGAAAATACAATTAAATTGTATTTTCAACATGCGATTTCAATGTGAAATTGTATTTTCAAAAAGTAAGTTAGTTTTACAAATAATTTGAAAATTGGGCCAATTCTCTAAAAAAAAATTTTTTAGAATATTAAAAAAAAAAAACTCCAAGGTTTCAAGGTTATGAATTTTTAACTTATTAGGTTTCTTTTCTTATATATTGTTAGTCTAAAATAAATATAAATTATTTGAGATTTGTCAAAAATATAAATTTTTGTCTCACATTTTAAAAATAACAAATAATATTTTAGAGCATTTCTAATCCAACATTAAATGTTTCATCAAATTTGAATTTGATAAAAAGCGTCTCATTTGGGCACTTCAAGTCTTTCACCAAATTTATATCAAACAGAGGAAAAATTAAAACTTTCATCAAATAAAGTGAGTCTTTCATCTTTTATTAATATAAATTATTATCGTTGGGCCGAACATTCTTCCTGATGTCCACCCAAAAGTAATTTTGATAGTTTTTTTCTTCATATTCGGATGACTTCCAAGACATTCGCTCAGACGTCATCCTGGAAAACCAGAGATGTGAAAAAATCTAATGAAAATTCTAATTTTAGCATTAGAGTAAACGATATCAAAGCAAAATTTGCATCAAATTTTTACTCAAATTTGATAAAAAAATTTATTCAACATTGGAGATGATCTTAACAAATTTTTTATTTAATTTTTAAATAACTTAACAAAATAAAATAAAATAATATAATATAAATATCCTTTAATATTTAATAATTAAAAGGCAAATGTTAACAACTATTTTATAGACATCTATCTAACTATCGATTATATAAAGAAAAGGGGTTTCTAATCCACAAGCCTCACAGGAGTTTTAATATTCCAATCTTAATTTTTAATTTTTTCATTAAAAAAATTAGCATTTATTGACTTTCCTAACCCACAAGCCTTTTTGATTTCTCTCATACCTACTGCTACACCCTTTTAACTTTTTTCATACACTATAGTTAGTAATGAGATTCTTAAATTACTTTTATAAAAAATCTATAAAAAAAAATAATTTGTATATTAAAAAATATCTAAAATAAATATAAATTCTTATTTATCTATCTATCTATACATTATATAAGTAAAAAGGGGTTTCTAACCACAAGTATTGTGAGAATTTCAATATCTCAACTAAAATTCCTAATTTTTTGATTTTAAATAATTAAAAAAAAAACTCTATGGTTGTGTTTGGTAGAGTTTTCTAAATATGATTTGAGAATAGAATTGTATTTTGAGTTTGTGAGTTTTGAAATTATGATTTGAGTGTGAAAAATTTGTTTGATGAATGAGTTTTGAAAAGAATTTTAAATTGAGTGAGAAATTTTTGATGTGACATATGATATTGGATACAAAAACTTACAACTCATAACCAAACACACAACTCAAAATTATATTCAAAGCTCATAAAAAATTCAAAATTTTTTTATTTCAAATTTAAAAAATAACAGGTGCCAATTGCAAAAAAAAAATAAATAAATAAATAAAATAAAATTATGCACTGTTCCGGTCAAGTGGTCTGATGTCTAGGAGGATGACTTGCCAGACGTTCGAGGGATGACCGGTTAGCATAAATTTTCTCACCTTGGACAGAATTTTTAAAAATAAGTGTTGAATTAATTTTTGAAAACTCTAAACAAACAACACACTCAAAACATAGGATATAAATATGTTTAGAAAATATAACCAAACACAGCCTATAGCTCTCATTCAAGCAAAAATAAAATATAAATGAATAAATAATAGGGCAAAGCGCTAGTAAATCCTGAATTTGGAAATGTTAAACCATTTAGTCCTGTGATTTTTTTAAAAGATTGATAGGTCCCATTTTAATGTTAAAGACTTAGAAAGTCCATGTTTTTTATGTGCTACGTGTTTAAAAGTAAGGGTAAATATGGGTTATTATTGGTGTTAATTTTACCAAATTGTCCAACATCGATATGCAGTGTTCCGTTGTTGTCCCTCGTATCTGAGTGAATATGGAACGTAATTTCTGGGCTGTGGATTGGGATTCCAACATTGCAGCGAGATTGTTTCCGTGATTTTTGAGTTTTTTTGTTTGGGTTTGTAACAATCCCGACCTATGATTAACTGCTAAACCACGATTAAAGATGCCTAATAAGTAATTAAAATGAAATTCTGAATTAATTGCATGTGTGTTGCATTATTTGTATTTATATCTATCTATCGTAGGAATATCTGTTTATGCTTCTATTTTGTTCTGTGAATTGAAGGCCTTATCAGCATCCGAACACGAAATTGACTTGATTTCTGTGTTAGTTAGAATTTTTAAAATTTTATAGTAAGTTTAATTAAAATACGATTTGAAATGAATTAATTTGAATAATTAATAGCTACTACTTAGGCTACTTGGAGTTTAATTAGCCAACTCTTAATTAAGCCTACATAAGGCATATGTGACCACTAGAATATACTTTACATCCTTATTTTCATCACCTTTGAGCATCAAATATAGGAGAGAGGGAGAGTAGGAAGAATTTGTATTCAAGCTTGGCTTTCGAGGAAATTGAAGAAAAATCAAAGGAATTAAACTCCTACGTGAAGAACTTAAGCTTTTAGGTAAGAATTCAACCTTAGATTCTTGATAGTGAGCTTAATAATCGTGCAATTCAAGAGGTTTAAGTGTTTAATTATGAGAATTGAACTTGGGAAGTAAAAGAAGAGCATCACATGCATGCATGTGCATTTCATGGAAATTTGAGGTTGTTTCCAAGCAATTCCTTCATGTACGGCATGTTTTCAACTTAACTTTGAGACTTCACCATGTTTATCATCATTTTAGACCAAGTGATCGTGTTTTGAAAGCTTTGAAGCCACACTATTTCATGCATGTTATACATATATACAATCTAAGTTTGAGTTTGAGTGATTCACTTGCTTTTGGGCTTTGATTTCATGAAACGATCTTTAATTCTCTATGTTTTGCAAGTTTAGACATGTTTTCTTAAGTTTTGAGGCCCAAAGGTTGCATTTTAAAGCTTTGAATCGAGTTTTCAACTTGGGAGTGCAATTTGGAAATTCCAGAATTCTATTTTCCACTCGAGCGACAGATCCTACACTCGAGCGACCACTCTGTGTTTTGCATTTCCACTCGAGTGACCAAAAGTTGGCTCAAGCGTAAAATGCATGCTCCCAGAAGTTTTCATGTTTTGCAGACCACTCAAGCTACAAGAGTTGCGCTCGAGCAAGGACCTCAGTCTCAAGCTCGAGCGACTGTCGAGCGAAAAATTCACACAACCAGTACTTTTTCAGAGTTTACAGACTGCTTGAGCGACTACTTACATTTTTTAGCCTCTGCTCGAGCGAAGGAAATTGCGCGCGAGCGAAGGCCCTATTTTCAGCAAATTTTGACAAGGTGTTTTCTAGTACATTTTAGCATCCTCATTGCATCCTAGGTACTCGTAGACCACAATTAAGACATAATAAGGGGGTTAAGACTTAGAAACTGCAATGACTCGGATTCTAATTCGTATCGAATTCATGTAAATTGGTGCCCATCACCTTAAAACTTGTATGGTTGTCAGACTCTTGGCATTGATGGGCTGGCAAGTGAACTTTAAATATTATAATTGAGGATCCTTGGATGGTTTTTGGAATCTTGATTGAAGCCTCAACAAGGTATTTAGGCAAGATTAGATCCAAAGCCCCAAAATTTGAGTTTTCATTTTTGAATAACCTTCAATTTTTCTCTTTCCATATTTTAAATTTGAATGTGAGACTGGAACCATTGGAAAACTTGTTTTCGGGGCTTTGATTTGGACACAAAAACGACCTAAAACGGAGTCCGAATGAGAGAGTTATACCTATTTAAATTTTGAGTTTCTGTGTTGGAAGCATGCTCGCTCGAGCGAACTGCACGATTTCCAGAGATTCTGGGAGCTTTTTTTCTACGCTTGAGCCAAGCTTCCTTCACTTGAGCGAACAGGTCGCTAACAGATATTATAAAGTGACTTTTTGGCCCCAAAACTTTATTTTTCTCCATCTCTTCTCCTTCCATCCTCTAAACCCAAAACCCTAACCTTCTAAACTCTTGATTTCTCTTCTTTTTACCAAAGATTCACCCTAAATCTTTCAAGAAGGTTGAAGAACAAGCATGGATCAAGACTTTTACCGATTGTTTTGCTATTT